GCCTGGCACGTGTGTGCGTGCCCAAGATCCCGAGAGGAGAATGGAGGAGAAGGGATTGCAGCAGGGCAATTCCCCCCTGGAGGGTGATTTCTCACTTTCTGTCTGTCTCTCTCTCCGTCTGGCAAACACACACGCTCTATGGCAAAAACCTGTCCAAAAAAAAATGTAAAAAGTGTAGAATGAGCATCCTGATCTGAAATGCTTAGGCCCAAAAGAGTTTCAAATTTTGTCTTTAGTCAGATTTTGGAATATTTGCCAAGACATTGTACAATATCTTGAGGATAGGACCCAAAACTAAACAAGAAATTCATTGGAGCACCTCAGATTTTGCATTTTGGGATTAGAGATACTCAACCTGTAACATTCTTCCAGAAAAATCCTTTTGCCCCAAAATGTGAATTGGCTGTTTTATAAGGTAAAGTGAGGAAGTCCCCAAGAAGCCTCCAGAAAAGGCACAGAGAACCTCTACATACAGTCACGGGTACCCTCCAGCCAGAACGGCATGCAGCATTTATAAAAAATATTCCTTTCTTCAGCAGAGCACTTGACTCTGCCTTAGTTTCTTATTCCCTGGCCTCCCTATGGCCTGCAGAGCCCTGTTTTTCTCCACGGAATACAAGTGGCTTCCTTGGGTGACCTGCTTTTCCTCAATGACCTTTCCAACAAAATTCAGAGGAATTTTGCAGTGACACATTGAGTGTCATTTGAAGGAAGCAGGTGGGCTAAAAGGGTACTATTTAATACACAAGTACATACCATCCAGAGCAATGCTTAAAATACACTTATGGCTAATTGAGTTGTCTGGTGAAAATTGCTTTGTAGCAGGGCCATGTAGATCAGGCCTGAAAGAGTGACTGATGGCCAGAAATTCATCAAGAGGCAGGGCCAGGGAATGGAGCTGATGAAAAAAGCTGACAGACTTGCAGAGAACATACTCCTTCCCTCTGCCCTGACAGGCTTAGGAGTAACTGTTAATGGTGTGCGGCATCATCACCAGTCTACAAAGGCTGAAGTCCTCTCCCCCACTGAGGGAAACCAGCCTCTCTAGAGGCCATGATGGTGCCATCACATTCTGGAAGCTGGGTTGTGACAGACCTGGCCTTAGCCCAGGATGTCAGTCTGTTTGCTAGAGTATTGTAACAGAATACTGCAGAAACTGAAAAAGAGAAATTCAGTGTCTCACAGTTCTGGAGGTTGGAAGTCCAAGATCCAGGTGCTGATAGGGCTAGCTCCTTCTGAGGGCAGTGGAAAGAGAATCTGTTGCTCTCTCTGGCTGCAGAAGATCACCTTCCCTCTACATATCTCTTCACATTACCTTCCCTCTACATAGGTCTGTCTTCAAATTTTTCCTTTTTTTGTTTTATTTTCCCTTAAGATTTATTTAATGTTATTATTTTTGTTTCCAATTTTCTATAAGGCATGTACAGTCACTAGAGAGAACAGAGAGAAAGCAAGCTGCCAGGTCTAGGACTTGAACCATGGTCAGCCATGTAGGAGTCCAGTGCCTCAACCACCATGTCACCTGCTGGCCCCTAAATTTCTCCTTTCTATAAGGACAGCAGACATATTGGATTAGGGCCCATCCTAACAACCTCATCTTATTTTGACTACCTCTGGAAAGACCCCATCTCCAGAGAAAGTCGCAGTTTAAGGTACTGGAGATTAGGACATCTCATGACTTGGGTAGGTGGGACATACTTCAACATAGCAATGTCAAAAAAAAAAAAAAAAACCAAACAGTCAAAAACAACCCAACACATAGCAATGTCTGACAACTGTGTCCTAATCTGTCAAGTGACTCTCACTTCTCCAACTCCTGAGCATGCCTGATTGTCCTTCTTTTCCTCCTCCCAACATCCTCAGACCTCTCAACTATCACAGAGACATATGGCGTGCCTTCTGGAACCTTAAAAATCATTCCTTCCCACTGAACTAATTGGAAAGACCATAAGCTCTTGGAGAAAACAGACCTAGGCTTAAATCTTAGTTTGAGGCCACACTAGTTACATGCCTAGGACAAGTTACTTAACCTCTTTGAGCTAGAGTTTCCTCATTGTGTGGTAAAGGTCTACCTGGTAAGCCACATACTTAAATATAACCAGATGATTTTGTGTCTAGAAGTAAGATACAGGAGTCTCCAAGGAGTAACTTTTGTTGTTGTTGGGAAAATAATCTCATGACCGGCTTCCTTGAGGATACAGACAGAAAGTAAGCCCACACCTAACTCTCTGGAGAAGAGTGTGCGGAATCTCTGTGGCCTGTCAAAGTCAGGTCCTGAGAAGAAGGTGAACATATTCTCATAGGGCCAGAAATGATGCATAGTATACATAGCTAGGAATAATCCACTTCCTCCTTTTCAGGTATAAAGCAAGACTTCACGAACTACTAGTACGAATAACATTTTTTTAAATCCATCACAAATCCATACTTTGAGAAAATGCAACTAAGAATGTATTGTAAAAAAAATTAAGGGCCAGCCTGTGGCCTGATGTTTAAGAGGCCTGGATCCCATCTACCTGACTGTGCAGTTCAAGCCTTGGACCCAGTGGCTCAAGAAACACATTGGGTTCTCGTGCATGCATGCCCAGAATCCAAAAAGGAGGGAGAGATGGAAAAGGGGAAGTATGATCATGCCCCATGGGGGATGCTTTCTCTCTCTGTCTCTCCAGCAAGTGCATATGCCCTCCGGCAAAAGAAAAAAAATTAATTAAAAGTGAAAACAACATATAAATCACTATTTTTTGTTATCATATATAAAAGATAGGGCCAGCAGGTGGCATAGTAGTTAAGGTGCTGGACACCCATGTGGCCATGGTTTGAGCCCAGGACCCAGTAGCTTGAAAGTCACACCAGGAATGTTTGTGTGTGTGCCCAAAATCCTAAGAGGAGAATGGAGGAGAGAGGATTGCAGCATAGCCACCCCTCCTGGGAAGCAGGGTGATTTCTCATTTCTCTCTTCAGTGAGCATACATGCCCTATGGCAATGACCTTAAAAAAATTTTTTTGAAGAAATAAAAGTAACTGTACAACTGCTAAACAATGTTTTAAGAAACTTACTGTTAATTTCTTCTTTAAAGGTTTCTTTCTCCCATGAGTGTGACAGAGACAGAGAAAGAGAGACAGAACCTCTAACGAGGTCCTGACTGCACAATCCACCCCCAACTCCAGTCAGCCCAAGGTCATGGGCACACATGTGCCTAGTGTACTCAGGGAGGTCTCTGTACACAACCTAAAACCTTCCCAAGCTGGTCAGCCTCACAGAGCATAGCATTTAGCCAATGTGCCATCATCCAGTGTCCAACTTACTATCTCTGAGCACTGTGTTTTGATTAGCACCACTTTATTGTACAGCATGGGAGACTTCAGACCAAGGCATGTATCTACAGACAATTAGGGCTCTAATATTAAAAGTACAATATTCAGGGACTAGCCCCCATAGCACAGTGGTTAACCAGTGCATAGGAAGCCGGATCCCACACAGCCAGCTACGATTTGAATCCCAGCCCTTGCAACCTGAAAAACACACTAAGCACATGTGTGTGCAAGTCTGAAATCAAATCGTGAATGGATGAAATGGAGAAAAGGAGGAAAAAGAGTTGCAGCATGACTCCATCTCATTGGGGTGTGCCTTCCCTCTCCCTCGCTTTCTCTCTCTGACAAGTACATGCACCCTCTGGTAATAAAAATAATATTCAGCTTCTGACATTTAAAAATCAGTTGTTCCTGCCTATGGCAAGAAAACAGACTTGAAAGTCAAGCCTCTTAAGAGAGAAAGGGTAAAGTCTTCCCTTTCCACTCCTGAGATCTCAGGTGCAGGCATGGAAGACTAGGTCATATTTGGCTTTAGGCCCAGAGTAAGGAGTAGGTGGTCCACATTTCAGCTGGGTATGAACACTATTACTCTTTACTATGAGAGTATCAATAGGAATAACATCGCCCATAGGTATAATGATTAACAACCAGTATCTTCACAAGTATGATGGACTTTTATGTCTCACATCCCCCAGTCATATTTATCCCCATTTCACAGATAAGGAAACTGAGGTGATGGCAGAATGAAGGCACTATCATTTCTCCCAGACTTGGAGAGAATGTGAAATGTGAAGTGTTTTCCACAGTCTATAATGGGAGGGTCTTTGTCCAGGTTACATCTAGGGATGAAATAAAGAAGTAAATAGGGGAAGTGAGAGAGACGTCCCATTTAAATGACCGTTTGTCACTGTCACCTTCACCACTGTAATTAGTTGGCCTTTGCGTGGCTCTATTGCATCTAGAAAATGATGTACCAGGCAAATGGAGACAGCTGAAGATGAGGCAAGGTCCTTGACCTCAAGGAATTACTATATAGCTTTGAGCAAGTTGTTGAGACTGTTTTCACAATGACAAACTGAAAAAAAATATATATATATATCGAACCAGCAGGTAGTGTGGGGATTAAGACGCTAGATCCCACATGATCAACTCTACGGTCCAAATTGGCCCAGTGGCTTGAAAAATATGCCAAGCATGTGGGCATGCATGCTCAAAATCCTGGGAGGAAAATGGAGAAGGGATTGCAGTGTGGTCATTCCCACCCTCCCGGGGCGGCGGGGAGGGATGATTTCTCACTTTCCCTCTTTGTCTGTCTCTCTCAGGCGAGTACATGGACCCTATGGCAAAAAATCTCAAAAAAAGAAAAGAAATAACATAACTATCTACCTTGACATGTTACCATGAATATTAAATGATAGGATGCCCATGGAATACCTACCACAGTACAAGGCCCAATAAATGTCCCCTAAATATATGCAATTAGTGTTACATCAATTAGCCAGATATAGATCCACTTGATAATTAGAATGACTGGCAAGCCATTTTGAATGTAGTCATTTTTCTGCATGCTTTCATTTATTTTTGAAATACCTACATTTTCAGGGACATAAAAAAAAATGACTATATACTGTAAGACTTCTTTCAGCTGCAAAAATGAATAACCAAGAGGAAGACTCTTGAGAAATAGCAAAGATGTATCACAAGAGCATCTTGAAATCACGTCTTTCTTCCAGCAAGTGTTTTCAGCAAGTCAATAGCAAGTTCTGCTTCTCTTCTATTTCCAGGGATGAGGTGTACCGGAAGCAGAGGGAGCTGCTCCCCACCTGTCTTGGCCTTGGTAAAGCCTGGGACAGCCTGTGGGGAATAGGAGCTGGGAACTTGTGTCTCAGGGAGCAACTGGAAAGCCAGACAGACAAAGCACCTAGGCGGAGATAAAAATATGCAATCAAAGTGGGGGAACTGTGTAGACTTCTCAGCAGAGACTGGACCGCTGCACCAGGCAGCCAGCAGCCACTGAGACAAGTCCACGGGGCAGCTGCCCTTACTGAGAGCTGTTTGTAACATATTGTTAGTGAGAACAATCAAATCCATTCTCAGGAGACCCAGATGGCCACTCGTGGCCCTGAACAATTACTGGAAGGATGTGGGTGCCAGGATAATGTAGGGAAGAGGCGCTCCTCCAGTGGCTCCTTCCCATTTCTTCCATCTTCCAGGCAGGAGTGACGAGACCACTGACATACCCTCAGGTTTCCCTCCCATGGCTTAGTTTCTCTGCAAGATCACCTCCTTAGTCACTGCAAGTTCTCTCTCTGTCAAGGTCGGTTTTCCTGCCACCAGGGGAGGAAGGCTGTTAGGGAGGGGGGACTTCTTTCTGAGCAGCAGGACCCCTAGGTAGGTTCCTGGCTCTGTGTCTAATTTGCTATGTCTTTGGGCTGGTCTTTTTCCCTCTCTGGGTTCATAGAGTGTCAACCAAGAGGCCTCCGTGATCATCTCATCTGGGCCTGTCACAGAATCAGATTGTCTTTTTTTTTTGAGGGAATTTGGTGGATTTTTTGGGTTGTTTTTTTTTTTTTGGGGGGGGGGAATGGATGGTAATGATACTAAGAACATTTAACATGAAAGCTACCCTTTTAACAACATTTTAAATATTCAGTACTATACTGCACATTTAACTTTAGGCAAGATATTTGTGCTTTTCCCAGTTGGCTTATTCAGTCACCTGTTCACCTGGACGCCAGTAGACCAAGGCCATCCTGGGGGAGGTGGGACAACACGCAGTCTGCTATAGGCGCCCCCTGTTGTCAGCACAGAGCCTCAATCCAGCCAGAGGCAGATCAGAGACAAGCTGGATGGAGAACTTGGTCAGGAAGGACCACTAGGTGTCACTGTCCTGCCTTAAATACTCAAATTCTCTACCAGGTTAAGTAGAAACTGTCCCAGGGCCTTTCTGGATTCTTGGCAATTGGATCTAGTTTGCATTTACCTTTCCGGAACCTTCCATCCAACAACATGATCATTTACAGGTGTCTACACAGGGTGCCTTTCTGCCTGCCAGGTCTCTGTACTTGATTGGTGACATGGAATGTGAGGTATATATCTGCTCAAGCTAATGTGCCCAGCCTCCTGCATTCAATCTCATTCAGTCATGAATTTAATGAGCACCTGCTAAGGGCCAAATCCTATGCTGGGAGCTGGAGACTCAAAGAAGGGAAGCGCATCCCTGTCCTCAAGAGTTCACAGTAAATATGTCACTCTTACTATAACCTGTGACAAAGTGCTGAAAAGAAGGGCCCTGTGCTATGAGCATCCTGAAGAAGACCTCCCGCCTGCCTTGAGTAGGTAAAGAGGATTCACAGAAGAGGTAACGTTTGGACTGAGACTTGAAATATGCATCTGTTTGATGGGCATATCATTAGGACGGTGTCTCAGAATAATGGTACAGCATAGACAAATAGGCCAGCCTATTAAGCTTATAGCAAGCATCTCCTATTTTAAAACTAAATCACGTTGAAATCAATTTGTACCAAATTGCCTTGCATGGGAGCAAGGGCAGGTTCCTGTTGCATTCTCCACTCATGTCTGATCACAATGGTCTGTCTTACCCTTGAGGGCAGAAATGTGACTTTCCACTTTAAATATTCTCACAACTGACCACAGTGGAGGTGCATGATACATTTTGAGTGAATATATGAACAATTCAGCCTACAGCTCAGCTGCACCACTACAAAGACTGTCAGATCGTGACGAGGTCTTTTCCGAAAGGGAAACCGAGGCATGGGCCCACGAACGGGAGAGCCACGCATGCCTCCAGCCACCGCGTGATGCTCCTTGTAGAGCTGGACAGCTCTTTCC